CCATGTGTCGTCGCAGCTGGAGCTCTTCCGTACGAACCTACAGGCGTTCGCCATCAAGTACAAGAACAACATCAAGAAGGACCCCGATTTCCGACGCAAATTTCAGGTCATGTGCGCTAAGATCGGCGTTGACCCACTGGCCTCCAAGAAGGGATTCTGGTCTGAGTTGCTTGATGTGGGGGACTTCTATTACGAGTTGGCGGTGCAGATCATCGAGGTTTGTATCATCACGCGCCCCAAGAACGGCGGACTCATCGGCATGAGTGACTTGCTGCGTCTGCTAGAGAAGAAGAGAGGGGTAGCGATGCAGACAGTGACCGACGATGACGTTAAGCGGGCGGTTAAGAAGCTCAGTGTGCTTGGAGAGGGTTTCCAGCTGATCGACATGGAGGAGAGGACGATGGTGAGCGCTGGAAAAGCTACTTGGGACGGGAATTAGGAACTAATGTTGGTGATCTCACTACTGCAGATTGTGACAGTGCCAGTTGTACTAAGTCAGGACCATTCGACGATCTTGGCGCTGGCACAGACGACAGGCGGCATGGTGAACGTCAGCATCTTGGCGCGCGAGCTGCAGTGGGATAAGAAACGCAGCATGCTGGCGTTGAATGTCCTTCTTCGAGAAGGCATGACGTGGCTGGACGAGCAGGTGCTGCAGTTAAATTTTCTTGTATGGTGCTGGCGTCTGATTGTTGATTTGCTGTACTTCACAGACTAGCGAACCTTCGTACTTCTTTCCGAGTATCACGCTGTCGGGTACTTACACGTAGTCGCGTAGTTACATGTACTGAGCAGATAGATAAGTTGAAGTGCATTTTTCTGTTTTATTGTAGCCTACATCGTACTTTAGAGAGTATTCCTTATTCATTAGACGGCATGGGGAAGCCGCGCTTCCTATGCGAGTACTGCAATAAGTCGTTCGAGGACTCGCAGGAGGCTCGACAACGACACAATCGTGGGCGCAACCACAAGGCCAACGTCAAGCTCTGGTACGACAGCTTCGCAGGTATGTACAAGCGCACGTATGTATGTAGTACATGTAGTCCTACTCCACTCAACTCTAAAACTTTTCTTCCAGATCAAGAGCGAAAAGCTGCTGCAGGCAATTCGACTGTACTAGTTCAGGACTCTTCTGCATGGACAGCAGTGAACCCTTCAGCAGTTAACAGCCAGACACAGCCATTCGCTCTACACAACCTGCCACCCTCGATGCATCCAGCTCCACCGGGCGTGTTCTACTACTGTAGATCCGATTGGGGCTAAAAGGTAACAAAACAGAGCTAATAGGGCAAGCATGCCCCGGACTATGGATGATGTTTGCACATTTGCGGCACTGTTAACCAGATACAATCAGGAACGCTTCCTTTTGAGACAACAGTTCATTCTTGGTCGTTGCGAGCACTCGGCTTATCCGCCCTGGATCCACGGGTGCATGGCAATCTGCTCTACTGTCAGACGCCGAGACGGGTCGTCCACGATCAGCATTTTCGACATCAAGTCACGCACATTGGCAGAAACGTGATCCATACCCCACGAGTCTAGCATGTCACTCATGAGGCCCTGGGCGATCATCTGGAATCGAGGGTCCGCATCATCCGGACGCTCGAAGGGAGGAGCACCCGTAACCATGATGAA